GACAGTCTGGATGGAAGTCTATTTTTTTAAAACCCAAATTGACCTTTCGCAACTCACATGAGGTAGATGTGGAAGTAAGGTGAAACATTCAACCATATAGGTGTTGCAGCCACAGGCTGAGTCTCAGGCACATTATGGCTGTCTGAGATACAGCCAGCATACCTGCGTCATATTTTGGCGGCGCCAGCTGTCACAACCTGAGAACACACAACATCGCAATCTCCTGAAGCCATTAGACGTGTTTGTTGGCGTGTACAGCTGCTGTTGATTCAATAGTTGTTCATGTTGTTACAGTTCTGGGAGCCACGTTTTCGTTTTTGTATATTACCTTCACGCTATTACTTTGTCTACGCTACCTTCCGCTTTTACTGGTCTAAGCTATCTTCACGCTATTACCAGTTTACGCTACCTTCACGCTATTACTGGTCTACGCTACCTTCACGCTATTACTGGTCTACGCTACCTTCACGCTGCTACTGGTCTACACTACCTTCACGCTGCTACTGGTCTACGTTACTTTCACGATATTACTGGTCAATTTACCTTCACGATATTACAGATCTACGCCACCTGTACATTATTACTGGTCTACGCTACCTGTACAGTATTACTGGTCTACGTTACCTTCACGCTATTACTGGTCTACGCTACCTGTACAGTATTACTGGTCTACGTTACCTTCACGCTATTACTGGTCTACGCTACCTGTACAGTATTACTGGTCTACGTTACCTTCACGCTATTACTGGTCTACGCTACCTGTACAGTATTACTGGTCTACGCCACCTGTACAGTATTACTGGTCTACGCTACCTGTACAGTATTACTGGTCTACGCTACCTGTACAGTATTAATGGTCTACGTTACCTTCACGCTATTACTGGTCTACGCTACCTGTACAATATTACTGGTCTACGTTACCTTCACGCTATTACTGGTCTACGCTACCTGTACAGTATTACTGGTCTACGTTACCTTCACGCTATTACTGGTCTACGCTACCTGTACAGTATTACTGGTCTACGCCACCTGTACAGTATTACTGGTCTACGTTACCTTCACGCTATTACTGGTCTACGCTACCTGTACAGTATTACTGGTCTACGTTACCTTCACGCTATTACTGGTCTACGCTACCTGTACAGTATTACTGGTCTACGTTACCTTCACGCTATTACTGGTCTACGCTACCTGTACAGTATTACTGGTCTACGCCACCTGTACAGTATTACTGGTCTACGCCACCTGTACAGTATTACTGGTCTACGCTACCTGTACAGTATTACTGGTCTACGCTACCTGTACAATATTACTGGTCTACGCCAACTGTACAATATTACTGGTCTACGCCACCTGTACAGTATTACTGGTCTACGCTACCTGTACAGTATTACTGGTCTACGCCACCTGTACAATATTACTGGTCTACGCTACCTGTACAGTTTTACTGGTCTACGCCACCTGTACAATATTACTGGTCTACGCTACCTGTACAATATTACTGGTCTACGCCACCTGTACAATATTACTGGTCTACGCCACCTGTACAATATTACTGGTCTACGCCACCTGTACAGTATTACTGGTCTACGCTACCTGTACAATATTACTGGTCTACGCCACCTGTACAGTATTACTGGTCTACGCTACCTGTACAATATTACTGGTCTACGCCACCTGTACAGTATTACTGGTCTACGCCACCTGTACAGTATTACTGGTCTGCGCTACCTGTACAATCTTACTGGTCTATGCTACCTGTACAATATTACTGATATACGCTACCTGTACAATATTATTGATCTACGCCACCTGTACAGTATTACTGGTCTACGCTACCTGTACAATCTTACTGGTCTACGCTACCTGTACAATATTACTGGTCTACGCTACCTGTACAATATTACTGGTCTACGCTACCTGTACAGTATTACTGGTCTACACTACCTGTACCATATTACTATTACTAGTCTACGTTACCTGTAATATATATAGTATTGCAGATCACTTTAAGTATCAACAAAGATAACTACGCAATATAAAGACAACTACCCAATACAATTACGATAATTGTTTAAAAGTATACTTAAAATATATTTTAATGACAATCTAGAATTCTGATACCTTATACAATTAATGCATAAGCTTTATATCAAATAACCAAACATAATTGATAGGCATAAGAATACATTATTGAAGAAAAGTCAAAGAAAACTGTATTTGTCCTAGTTAAAACCCGGATGGGTTGAACATGATATAGTTGTTCAAATTACTATCACAGGTCATACCTTTAGACTTCAACAAATATCAAAAACTCCGGTGCGGATCAACAATAATTTTTACTCATGGATTATAATCTCATAATTTTCAATTGCACAGAGACTACTGTTTTCTTATAGTGACGAATTTCTTTCATTGTTGTCGACTAATAATGTGTGTACCCTTTGTGTACCCCAAATAAGGCAAAATAAAAACTAGATGTTTGTCTACGTTATAATTACTTTCCTACAAAGAGATGATTGTGAACATGCTGCGTGATAAATTTGAACAGTTTACACAGAACGGATAGTGGGTCTGCAGGTTTTGAAATTGTGGCATTACTTTTGAAACGGACTATACTACTATAGAATACAACTAGCTAAAACGTAACAGTAGATTCACTAAAGATTCACAATAGATTGCACGGTGAAGTCGATTCTACACGAGCTATCATCGAGCCACTCTGAGAGCCCGATAAATCCACTCCTGAATCTGCAAGGGTGGTCTTTGAAACCTGTTGTCTGTCGGAGGGCAAGGATCGATGCAAAGCTTGTAATGTAAAACATTTATTCTTCAAAGAGATGGTAGGGCACATTTTGGTGAAGTGGTTACCAGCTTGT